CAGCGCCGGGGTCCTGGAACAGGGGACGTGGAGAGCCTGACCCAGGGCCCCGCGCACTGCCCAGGCCCAGGGGAAGGCAGGAGAGGAGGAGCTGACATCCCCCCTCCCCGGTCCTGCCCGACCCCATCCCGCCGCACCCAGCCCTGTCCCCAAACCGCCCCGCTGCACGGCACACCGGCGCTGGCTGCACCTCCCACCACAAAAGAAACGTCTGCAAAAACTTCCCTGAGCTGTGGGGGAAGGTGGATGGGAGAGACATGACAAGCAAGCATGAAATGCGGACGGCACAGCGGGCCCTGGAGCATCTCTCCATACCTGTCTCCACCTCTCCATCTCTCTGGCTCTCCACTTCTCCATCTCTCCATCTTTTCACCTCTCCATCTCCAGCATTCCACCTATCTACCTCTCCATCTCTTTCTCAACCTCTCCGTTTCTCCACCTCTCCATCTCTCCATTTCTCCACCTCTCCATCTCTCCAACTTTCCACCTCTCCATCTCTCCACCTCTCCATTTCTCCATCTCTCCACTCTCCATTTCTCCACCTCTCCATCTCCATTTCTCTACCTCTCCATCTCTCCAACTTTCCACCTCTCCATCTCTCCACCTCTCCATTTCTCCACCTCTCCACCTCTCCATCTCTCAGTTTCTCCACCTCTCCACCTCTCCATCTCTCAGTTTCTCCACCTCTCCACCTCTCCATCTCAGTTTCCACCTCTCCACCTCTCAGTTTCTCCACCTCTCCATTTCTCCATGTCTCCATTTCTCCACCTCTCCATCTTTCCACCTCCCACCCCCCATCTCTCCACCTCTCCTCCCCTCACACCCCGGTTCCCCCCTTCCCGTGCCCTCCTGCTCGTTCCCCGCTGCCCGCTTCTCCCCGGCCGCTGCGCCCGAGCCGCTCCGCGGACGCACCGCCCGCTCCCCGCCGCTCCGGCTTCCCCCGAGCGCGCAGAGCTCCGCCGGCCCCCGGGGGCTCCGGGCGGCTCCTCGGGCTCGTCCCGCCACCGGGCCGGCCCCGAGCCCGCCCGCCCCCGCCGCCCCGGCCCCGTGCGCTGCGCCGCTCCCCCGCCCGCTCCGGCGCGCCCGGTCCCGGGGCGCACGGTCCCGGGGGACCTCCCCCGCCGCTCCTGGCCCCGCGCCGCCCGCACCCCCACCGCCCGGGTTGGGGGGAGCGGCGGGACCCTCCCCCCGCCGCCGGGCCCCCCCCCAGCAGCGCGGCCGAGCCCCTCGCCCCGGCCTTGCGCCCGGTGCCGCGTTACGCACGGGCTCGCCCGGCCCGGGGGGGTCCGGCGGGGCTCCCCGACAGCCGGGGCGGAGGGGGGGTGGCCCGGGCCCCGCTGCTGCCGCTCCCCCGCACCGGGGGAGCCCGGCCGCGCTCCCCACGGGTGGGCACGGCAGGGGTGGGCGACTGGGGAGTCCCAGGGGGGCGGCGCGGCGGCTCCCCGGGGGCCGGGGCCGGGCCCGGGCCCCGCAGGACCGTGGTTAATGTGTAATTCGGAGCATATGGTATTTTGCAAAGGCGGGCGGGGGTGCGCGGAGCGGGGGCGGGAGCGGGGTGCTAATAACGTTCAATTACTCGCGGGGCCGGGCGCGGAGGGCCGCAGTGCAGGGCTCCTCGCTGGCTAATATTTGCTCTTCAAATATTTTACTTGAAAGGTTTACAACGTGTTTTTTTTTTTGTTGGTTTTTTTTTTATCTCCGAAGAGGGGGCCATCTGTGCCGGGCCCTCGAGTTGCACAGCGGGGCAGTCCCCGTGGTGCCCATCCACCGCGGGCCGCCTTCTATTTGTTCAACACCCAAAAAAAAAAAAAAAAATTAAATAAATGTAATAAAACCGAATCTAGATTTATGATTGAATCCCAAGTGCTTTACCATATGGCAGCTCTGTCTGTCCCTGTTTGTTTTGCGGGAGCGCAGCCCCCCGGGGAGGCTCCGTCGGGGTGACCAGGGATGCTCAGGGTGGTGGGGAGTGCGGTGTCCACTGGGCACCAGTGCTGCAATACCGGCGGGAACACCGGCACCAACCCACTGCTGGCTTCGGGGGCTCGGGGGGGGGCTCAGCCCCGAGCCAGCCCCGAGCCTCGACGGAGCCCCCCGGGGCAGGTGTGTGCTGGGCACGGGCGCTCATTGCCCATCGGGCCGCCCTTCTTCCCCATCCTCATTCCTCCTGCCCCGTGACATCACGGCCTGCTCGCTCATCAGCCGCCCCGCAGGACACTGGCGCGGCAGCACCCGGTTTGGCTCCGAGGACGATCCGGTTCAGCTCCTTCGAGGCTCCGCAGGTACCCCCTTGCACCCCTGCGGGCACCCCTGCCCTCAGTCCTACTCACGCGCGCACACACGTGTGCGCAAATACACGCACATACACACGTGCACGTGTGTGTGCAGCTGGGCGCGCGGAGGAAGGAGCAAGTGTGCGTGCGAGCGCGCATTTGTGCGCACAGGACGCGTGGGGGTGTGCGGGGGTGCGTGTGCACAGACACCCACCTGCGCTCGCACACGCACGGCGGGGAGCACGGGGCAAGCTCAGGCGTGGGAGCGCTGCTGCGGGGCAGGGGGGCTGTGACTTCTTGTCCCGTGCAGCCGTGGGAAGCAATTCCCAGTAGGAACTGGGCGGTGGGGGGGGCTGTAGCATGGAGAAGGCTTTGGGCTTTGGGCTTGGGTACTTCGCTCCAGGCCGATCCATCCCTAACGAGCTCGGGCGCATGGTGCGTTTGCTTCTCACCTGCCTTTTCACACTGTTGGATTTATTTTGCTTTTCTTGAATTTCATAGCCAGGGTCAGGATTTCCGAGCAACATTCTCAAGCCGTGCCAAGGCTGCGGTGGGATTTGGGGGCTGGAGCAGGGAAAGCCCCACGCTGGGGGTGTCCAGGAGTTTTCAGGGCGTTTCAGGTGAAATCCCAGGTGAAGCAGGGGTGCTGCCCGGGCTTTGGCAAGGCAGTGCCAGCAGCAGCCGCCAGCATGGGGGGCACCTCCGCGGCTCGGTGTGCTGCTCATTAATTACCACGAGTGGTTCTGCCTGAGCAGACAGCGAGGGGAGTGGGGTTCTCCTGGAGAGAAGGGCTGGCACCAGCATCCCTGTGGAAATGTCCCCTCTCCCCCATTTCATGGGGCAGGGTGCTGCCCTGAACCCCGCCGCACCCCTTGGCTGATGCCCGGCACTTGGAGCTGCGCTGCCTTTCCTCCCACTTCCACGGGGCTGGAAACCTCCCGTGTCTCTGGTGACACAAGGGTGGTGACCCTGCCCTGCTTCCCGCCAGGGCCATCTCCCCCACGACAAGTGGCTGCTCTCACCCCATCATGGTCCCAGGTGGTCTCAGAGGCCACCGGGACTCAGCAAAGTGTCTCTGCAGGTGTCGGTGGGACCCACTGCCGGTAAATCCCCAGGGTGGGAGGAGGTGGCATTCACCCTGCAGACCCCGGGGGAGCTGTAGGGCAGGACGGGGCAGGAATGTGGGGCAGCACTTGCTCCAGGGGTGCTGGGTGCCATGGGGGTGTCCCACAGCTGGGACATGAGTGCCTAAACCCGCGGGTCAGGCTGTGGAACCAGGGAAGGTGCGGAGGGGACAGGCAGAGGCGCTGGGGACGGGGAAAAGCCCAGGGGCTCTGGGACTGTGGGTGTAAGCGTGGGGGAGACCCAGCCTCGACCTGCTGAGCTGGCAGAGGAGGTGGCAGAGTGGTGGAGCGTCTCCAGCCGAAGGAGGGGAGGCTCCTGTTAGCCCAGTTATCGCTTGCCAGCCTCTCCTTGGCTGCTCGAGGCTCTTGGTGCTGCAAACCCGGCCGTCGGCTGCAGCTGAGCCACTCCGGGTTTTTAGCGGGGCAATGGGAGCGCAGGGCCAGACCCTCCCTCTGAAATAAATAAATACGCTGCAAGAACGCTGCCGGCGAGGACGTGAGGGGAAGCAGTGACCCCACGCACAGGCGCTGATGTCCGGAGCCGCTGGAGAGGCAGCAGGGAAGGGTTAAAGCGGGTGATAAACAGCCACTGAACCAGCACCGGAGCTGTTGCGCATAAACCCAGAGCTCCCCATCCTGCCCCCCATCCCTCCAGCACCCAGCGGGACCCCGGCGCTCAGCTGCAGCGGGGTGGGCACGGGGAAACCCCCCCGTCCCCCGTGGCTCATCCAAGGGAGCGCACGCAGGCGCTGCCAGCTCCGGTGCTTTCCCGGGGTCTCCCCAGCCACTTCGGAGCCCCAGAGCCTCTTACAGCCGTGGGAGCATTTTAAAGCCCAGGTCCCTTTGATCCGCCCTGCCTGGAGTGCAGTGATTTCCCAAGCAACCAGATGCCCTCCAGCGTCTCCATCCTCTGCTCCGTATTTCTGCCCTTGCTCCCCCTTCCTCTCCTCGCAGGAGGAGGGGCAGGGGACGTGGCTGAGCCCTGGGCACCGTCACTGATTTATCCGGCCTCACGACAGCAGCCGTCTCCTTTTGGCAATTCCCAGGCATCGCAAGCCCCGTGAAGCCTCACCATGCAACACCGAGGTGAGCGATGCTGCGGCACCGGGGCGGCTCAGGGACCGCGGTCCCAGCGTCCGTGGTCCAGTGGGGAATCGGGGAGGTGCCACGTCGGCACCTGCTCCGTCACAAATGAGGCTGCTTTTCCCCTCCAAAAGCTCAAATTTAGTGCTGGCAGCTGATGCACATGTGCCTCTGCAGGGTCCTCCCAGCCCCCTGGGGATGTCCAACGCTTCCCTGCCCACCCCAGCCTGTCCCCCGCTTTGTAGCTGCCTCTGCCTGGAGGAACCTCCTTCTCCCCGTGCTCCTCCATGGGGTATTTTTTCTGCCAGCATCACCCAGGCTGGTCCCCCCGTTCCCTGCCTGCGTCTGCCACGCGCTGCCTGCACCCACACCGCAGTGAGGGAGCCCTGCGTTGCTCCAAGCTCCACATCCTCCTGCCCGGTCCCCTCCAAACCCCCCCCTCAATGCACAAGGGTCCCCGATGCCACCCCATCCTTCACCCTGCAAAGCCGCAGGTCCCGTTGGGTGCTCTCCCGGCGAGATGGGGAGGGAAGGACAGGCAGCATCCCCCTTCGCAGCAAGCCCTGTCCCCCGTCACCGCCTGCTCGGCCTCTCCCCAGGGCCCAGCGGCGTGAACCAGGGGGGTCTCTTTGTGAACGGCCGCCCCCTCCCTCCCTGCAAGAGGAAGAGGATCATCGAGCTGGCGGCATGCGGCGTCCGGACCTCGGACATCTCCCGCAGCCTCAAGGTGCGCCCGACTCGGGGGTGTGGGGGTCTCCTTCTCCTCCAAACCCTTTCCCCGCTGAGCCTCTGCCCCAGCCGCCCCGTCCGCAGGTGTCCAACGGCTGCGTCAGCAAAATCCTGGGCCACTATTACCGGACGGGGGCCACGGAGCCCAAGGCCATGGGGGGCAGCAAGCCCCGCATGGCCACCCCCGAGGTGGTGGCCAGGATCGCCCAGCTGAAGCTGGAGCAGCCCTCCCTCTTCGCCTGGGAGATCCGCCGGCAGCTGCATGCCGAGGGCGTCTGCGCCAGCGACAGGACCCCCAGCGTGAGTCCCTGCTGGGGAGAGCCGCGGGGGGCTGCGGGGACACCGGGGCCAGGCGCTGCGGGGAGGGGGGGGCGGTGGGACCCTCCGGCTGGGGTGCTGTGGGGGGGCAAAGGGGGAGGATGCGTAGGGAAGGGCTCGGTGAGACGGCAGAGGGGGAAGCAAGCAGGGAGGGGAAGGCAAATCGGTCCCTCCCAGCTAAAGCAGAGCCCCACCGGCCGTCCCCAGCAAGCCTGGCCGTCACCTCGGGCGCTGGGACGCTGTGCTGGGTCGGTTACAAGTGCCACGGGTCGGCAAGGACAATAAAATGCAATCTGCAGCGTCAGCGCCGAGAGCTGTGCTTCCTAATGACAGACCCACCCCTATAAATCTCGCCGTCTCCAGCCCCGAGGTGCAGATTGCCTCACATTAAATATTGTTAGGCCGCCAAAATTAAAGGGTTGCCTGTATCAACAAAGAGCGGAGCAGATGGGCACGGCCCCGGCGCAGAGAATCTCTGGCACGTGCTCAGGAGAGCATCTCGGGGATGAGCTTTGGGACACCCACCACGATTCCTCCCTGCCTGCACATCCCCCGGCTCCTGGAGTGAGCGGAGGGATGCTCGCCGGGGGTGGGGGGTTTTGCCCAGCAGCCCCGCTCCCGCCCTCGTGGGGTCCTGCACCCCCTGCCCCTGCTGCAGCCCCGTCTCCCCCTGCCCAGGTCTCCTCCATCAACCGGGTGCTGAGGAACCTGCCCAGCGACCTGCGGCTGGCGGCCCGGCGGGGATTTGCGGGGGACGCGCTGCCGGGGGTGAGCCATGCTGGGGGTGGTGGTGTGGGGAGCAGGGGTTTGGGAGGGCAGGGGGGCGTGCACCCCATGGGAGAGACCTGCTCTGAGTGGGCAGGGAGCTCCTGCCGGCCTCCCAGCTGCACGCACACACGCGTGCACACACACACACACACACACGCCCCTACATGCATGTGCGTGCACGCGGCTCCTCCGCACACCCCTGCGCTGACCCTGTGCCCCCAAAGCAAAGGGGCTCATGGACCCTCCCTGACCCTCCCACCCCCAGAGCCAGGTTCCCCCCCGCCGCCGCCACCTTCTGCCTTTCTGTCCCTGCAGCATCCCCTCTCACCTCCCCCTCCTCCCCGCATCCCCCGGGCTGCCGCTCGCCTGCCGAAGCCGGTGCTGCCGTCTCCCCGGGGACCCAGCACCCTCCCCGGGGCTCCGCGTCCGGCCGGCGGGTCCCGCTCAGCACCCAGCACAGGAACAGGACGGTCTTCTCCAGCCGGCAGTCGGAGGCCCTGGAGAAAGGTGCGGCTTTCGTGGGACGCCGGGGTGCTGGCCAAGGCCGGGGCACTCGGCGTGCCTGCCCCGAGCTGCCGTGGAGCTCCGGGATGGAGCAGGGCCATTGCCAGGGGACGGCCTTGCCGCTCTCTGGCTGGGCTCCTGTCCCTTGGCACGGCATGGCCACCGCTGCAGTGCCCCAAACCGCTCCGAATCGCGGGCACCGGTGCCTGGCGATGGACCGCGCATCCCGGCATCGCCTGCCGAGGCACCGGAGGGATGGGGAGGGGGGGGTGCTTGTGCTGGCCAGGCTGATCTTGCCCCAATCCCCCTTGCAGAGTTTCAGAGGGGACAGTACCCGGACACCGTCACCCGGGAGAGACTGGCTGCGGCCACCCAACTCCCCGACACAACCATCAGGGTAAGAGGAGACCCGGCCGGGCCTGATCCTGTTGGCCAAAGCATCTCGGCCGGGGTGCTGGGCTCGGGGCTGCCCAGCCTGCCAGCACGGGGGGGACAGGGCTCCCTCCTGGCAGCTGGGGACATCCCCAAACTGTGTCACTGCTTCTGGCGGTGGCAGAGGTGGGAACGGGCTCGTGCGTGCAGCAGAAAAGGGGGGGAGGGTGACCCCTAAGAGCAGGTTCTGTCCCCAGCTCGGAGGTCTCTACCCTCTGACGGCTGGGCACGGGCAGGAGTGGTGGCTCCGGAGGGATGTGCTGGTCTCACATCTGCCGGGGTGAGGCGGGGGTCAGGGCAGCGGGACCCTCGGGCTTCCCCGTGACGGGCCACACGTGCCCGCGTTGCACAGCGGCAAGCGGCTGCGTGCCCCGGGCCACGGCAGCCCCACACCCGCGCTCTGCTCCCCCCGGCTCTGCCCTGCCGTGGGGCCGGGGAGGCTGCAGGGCACTGCTGGGTGCCGGGAGGAGAGCACAGCGCTGCAGAGCCAGGACACGCTCCGTGGCACGCGGCTTGGCGCAACCCGTGGCGTGCTCCCTGGCACAATCCATGGCACACTCCGTGGCACACGCCATGGCATGCGCTGTGGCATGCTCCCTGGCACACCTGTGGCACCCACCCCTCAAACACGCGTCCAGGACACCCTCGGTAGCTCCGGGCAGACATCCCTGTGCCGCTGGCAAACCTTCGCCAGTCCTTGGCAGCCCCTTCCCCTGCCAGCCACGGCCCATCGCCGGCCACCTCGGTGCCCCGGGCAGTGACAGCAGCGAGTGCCCCACTCTGCGGGGGCAGAGCCACCCGTGCACGCGGTCACGCCACGCCGTGACAACACACACACATGCACACATGTCTCCCGTGTCGGAGAGAAGCACCCTGGAGCCTGGCACGGGCTGGCACCTCGATGAGGCGGAGAAGACGCAGGGTCAATCCCTTCCTCTGCCCATGCCTGTGCCCGGGGGCGTGTGAAGTGCCCCTGTCCCGGGGGTAAGAGCGGAGCCAAGGAGCCGGAGCACGGCCCGGGGCCCCGGGGTGCCGCGGGGTGGGGGCCGGCATCCTCAGCCCCCTCCCTCCTCCCCAGGTCTGGTTCTCAAACCGAAGGGCGAGGTGGAGGCGCGAGGCCAAGCAGAAGCTGGAGGCCGGCGGTGCAGGTGACAGCCCCAGGGGCGGGAGGGGACGGGACGGGACGCGGGACCTGATGCCCAAGGAGGGGGCTGGGGTGCAGGGGCCACCCTGGGAAGGAGCGTGGTTGAAGTTGGGCGCCGAGCACCGGGACTCCTGGGTTTGCTTCCCAGTTCCGGAGCCCTGCTGGGAGCTGGGGAGAGGACACAGCTGCAATTTGTGCCCCCCCCCCCCCGCCCCAACCCTGCCACGGGTAAAAGGCAGCCCTCCCACCCCAAAATCAGGGCTGGGGGGCCACACGGTCCCCAAAGAAGCACGCTGCCCTCCCCACCTCTCCCCACGCAGGCTCCTGGTGTGACTGGATGCTGGCCAGTGGGGCGGCTGTGGCTGCTTTCTGCCCCCTCTCCACAACAGCCACCGGCCCCGCACAGGTAGGATGGCCGGGGGCCCTTCCCGCACTGCAGCCTCCAGCCAGGGTGATGGGGACCCCTCGCCGGCACCCCAAGCTCTGAGCTCTCCGGGCGCTGCCATCCCAGTTTCTGGGAGCTGCCTCGGAGGGTAACACATTGCAGGTCCCCACTGGGGTGGCCTGGTCCCAAAGCATCCCCAGGGATGCCCTGTGACATCCCGCTCTCTGCTCCCCACGCAGCACCTCCCAACCTCCCCGCTGGCTCGCCACAGCCTCTCCACGGCCACGGCCACGGCGTCACCGCCTACCCCGGCCCCCGGCCCCGCTGCACCTCTGCGCCTCCGGCCCCTGCTCCTGGGATGACTCTTGCTGCGGTAAAAGGGCTGGGAGAGGGGCTGGGAGCCCTGGGCACAGCCAGGGTGGGAGCCGGGGAGACCCCACAGGGTGCTGGAGGGGGTGGGGAGCTGGTCCCATCCCCCACAGCAATGGGGGGGTGTTTCCCGCAGGGTGGGTGTCCCCTGCCCCATGGCAGCGCGGGGCTGGGGTGAGGGCGATGCTCCCCAGCCCCGTGCCGCTGCCTGAGCCCCATTTCCATCCCACAGGCCTGGCCCCCGGCAGCAGCCCCCTCCAGGTCCCTGGCAGCCCCTGGAGGGCCCCTCCTTCACCCTGCTGCCCCCTCGAGCTCACCTGCACCCCACTGCCAGCCTGCTGCCCACAGCCCCCCTGAGCCCCCCGGGGCCGCCGCTCCACGGCAGCTCACCGGAGCCCCTGGCCTGTCTCCACACACCGGGGTGCCCCTGGCTCTGAGGGTCCCCAGCAAGATGGGGGGGCTCTGAGACACCCTCCAGCGCATTGAGCCAAGGGTGTCGGTGCACGGGTGCGGGTCGGTGACAGCCAGGCCACCAGCAGCTCACTGCCTGCCCCCTCTAAATCGGGACACCCCCCCAGGAGCTCAGCCCCCCCAGGGCCAGCGGGTGCTCGGGGGAAATTGTCCTGCTGAGCCGCCCGGGCTCAGGTTTTCAGGGGGATGAGCGTGCCCCTTCCCAGCTGGGCGAGGGGTTTATCCCAGTGCTACCGGGCAGAACTTGCCCTGCAAGGCTTTGCGGAGGACGATGCCTTGCGGCTCATGCAGGAGCTGCCGGACAGACGGTGTCCTGCTGTCTGTTCTGCAGGGTCCTCACAGCCCCCTCATGCCTTCATCATCCGGCCGCTTCCCCTGGGCCACCCGCATCTCCCACGGCACCCCCCAGCCTGTCCCGCAGACCCTGCACCCTTCTCCCCCACCCCAGACCTGCTCTGATCCCAGCTGGTGTTTCCAGCTGGGGCACAGCATGGGGGGGACACCCCCACAGCCCCCCGAACCGTGCCCTCCCGCTGCAGGGTGACACCCACCTGCATCCATCCCCGCGGGAGTTTGTCACCCCCGAGGCAGCAAAGCTTGATGCCAGGCTTTGCCTGGCCACTGGCCTCTTCCTCAATGGCCTGGGGTGGCTTGGGGGGGCCAGGTCCACAACCACGTTCCCGGGACTGTGGTTGGGGTCAGGCAGTGCGAGCCGAGCGCCTTGGGGACCCCCTTGTCACACCGGCGTGTTTGTCACCATCCTCAGTGCCATCCCCAGCCTCTGGGACACTGCAGAAAGGTTGGAAGTGTCACTGCCCCGCTTTGCTGCCGCCTCCCCCATTAGCATCCCTCTGTCCAGTTTAAGCTTGCCCCCCCTCTACTTATAACCCTCTTAAATTACTCTGGGAAAAGTTAATTAACTGCACACGGGGAGGGATGGCCAATGCCCACGCTCTGTCCAGCCTGCTGCGGGCACAGCGCGCACCGCCACGGCAGCAGGCACCGTGCTGGGTGCTTCTGCCCACCGTGAGCAGAGCTGGGGCTCAGCCACCCCCTTCCCCCCCCCGCCCCGAGGCAGCCTGCCGGAGCAGCCCCCGAGTCCCTCCTCCCCGTGGAGCCCCCCGGTTTGATGCCCCTGCTGCGGGGGCCGGGTGCTGCTCGGCGGGGGACGCGTGGGAGGATGCGGAGCAGCGCGGAGCCCGGCCGGGGTCCCCTTGTCCTGCCTGCCGGGCTCATGCTGCATCCCTGCTGCGGAGCCATCAAGCACCGGCTCCCGTCGGGGGCTGTTGAAAATGGGAGGGCACCCCACTGTTAAATGGGAGCTTTTCCTGGCACCTTCAGAGAAACCTCTAGCCCAGAGGGAGATCTCCTAGCCGGAATGTTGGGGAGGCTCCGGAGCTGGGGAACAGGGGCTGTGCAGGATGGGCAAGCGGGGAAAAAACTCGCGGTGGCTGTTGTGCCCCCCCCCGCCCCCCCGGCGTAGCTGCTGGCCAGCCCCCGAGCTGCGGCAGTGCTGGAGCTCGTCCCGGCACACGGACGGGACATCGGCGGGCAGGACCGTGCGGCCCAGCCAGGACCAGCTCCAGCCAATCCCATACTGGTCCCTCCGCCCCGACTCAAGACCTGGCAGAGCCGACAGGTCCCAGCTGCGCGGCAGATCCTTGCCCTCAAAAAAGTTTTGCGTTTCTCTTGGTTCAGAAGCTGAATTTAACAGTGGAGCCGTGGTGAAGGCACCCATCGCTGGCACGGAGCATCGCTGCAGGCTGAAGAAATGGTTTTATTTGAAGGATAATGTTTTTTTCCAAGGAAGCCAGCTGGGGCGGGGGGGCTCAGCCCAAGGCTTTCCCAGTTTACAGCTTCAGAGGGACAGTGCCCAGCGGCCACTGTCCCCACGGAGCTGTGGCAGCGTCCTGGGACTGGGGCAGCAACGCTGCTGCCCACAGGGAGGTGGGCTGAGACCTGCCAAGCTCATGGCATGTATTACCGACCAGCTTATGGGGAAAACCTTATGGGAATGGGGACGTCGCCGATGACTGAGCAATCTTGTAGGATGGAGGTGAGCAAGGATGCACGGAGCCCACGGCAGTGGGGTGTCAGTCATGCTCAGCCCCGGGGATGAAGACAGGGACAGGCTGGGTGGCATCGCCGCGCCGGTGGCAGACCAGGGCTGTGCCCAGCCAGCACACCGTGCTCCAGCAGTGCCCGAAGCCGCAGCCCCTCCCTGCCACAGCCCACTCGAGCCCGGACCTCCAACCACCGTGGCAGCTCCGAAGGAGCCTTTTCCTTCCAGAAACATGGAGCGACTCGGAGGGGTTGGGGTGTATTTTCAGCACGGTGTAGGACGGTGTTTGTGGGGGGGTCGGGTCTGTGGTGCCCCTCTGGGGCACTCGAAATGCTGCTGGATGCTGGGAGCCTGCGGGGAGCCAGCCCTCGGGGCTGGCTGCAGGGAGGGGGTGCAGGGCAGCACCCCGCTTTGGCAGCTCGTACGAAGGCGCCGTCCCACCGAGAACCCTCTCCGGCAGCCGCAGTGTGGGGGGGGGGCCTTCCCAGTTTGGGGTGCAGCCGGGGTGCTCGCGCCCCCCTGCCACCCTTCGCTGTGGCTTTGCAATGCTCTGGGCACCGGCAAGCTTTGCAACCCCCCCGCCTCCCTGAGGAGCAAGCGGGCAGCAAGCTCTCCTGCTCCTCCGGGCTCCTGCCGCTGCCACCAGCGCTGAGCAAACTGGGGACCTCGGTGTGGCCAAGGGGACGTGTCCCTGGGGATTTCGGCACAGCTGGGACCGTGGGGAACTGGCAGGGCTGGAAGCGGACAGGGCAAAGCGAGCAGCAAATTGCAAAAGGCATAACGGCACCCGCGCTCCCGGGCTGCTGGCATGGGGGTGGCAGTGGTCGGTGCCACAGGGACGCCCCGTGGCCTTACAGCTGGCATTTTCAGGGCACTTCAGCTCAGCCTGAGGGTGATGCCCAGGCCAGGCTGGAGGAACTGGGGCATTAAATTATTCGCTGTGAGTGGCTGTTCCTTTTGTTCCTGGGCTCTCTGAGAGCAGGGAGAGCGGGGCTCCGGCCACAGCGCACCACGGGGCCAGGTGCAGGGCAGGGTTGTGCGTGTTGGATATAGAGCTGATTTGTGTGTGTGTCCCCCACCCCCAGGCTGCTGCTCTGGGCTGTCCCCAGTGCCAGCAGGACGGTGCATCGGCCAGGGGAGGGAGCCCGGCACTGGGAGCCGACGGGCACAGGTCATCCAATATCACCATGAAACATTTCCCACCTTGCAAGGGATTAACCGTCCCCCCGGGAGCCGTGGGAGCGAGCAGGGACACCGGCATCACCTCGTCCCCTGCTGCAAAGCAGCTTTCGAGGCTCGAGGCTGCTGTGATCCTGGGGAGGCTGTTTCTCAGCTGAGCGGTCCAGCGGCTGATGCACCAGCAGCCGGGCTATGGCATCTCCCAGTCCGTCCCCAGTCCCCAAGGGTTCTCTCGCTGTGCTGGTGCCTGGTGCCCCACATCAGGTGGGATGGGCATGTGCTACCAAGGCCATGGCCGAACCCCTCGCCTTCCATCACGGGGCCACCTCGGGTGCGTCTGCCTCGTGTCCAGCCCGTGGCCCCCCCTCTCAGGGTCTTTGCTCCGTGAGCAATCCCAGCTCCGAGCCAGCACCAGTCTGGATCGTGGTGCTGCATCCCAGAGCCAAGTGCTCTGGGGAAACCTTGCACCAAAGCACAGGAAAACTCCCCCATCTCATCCCGTCCCCCCACTTTTCTCCACTAAAGGCAACAACCTGCAGCAGCTCTGGTGGCAGTTGGGGCTCTGGGGCAGCCGTGCTGCAAGCTCTGCCCCTGGGCCCCAGCGGCCCCCCAGCTGCCCCAAGGGATGGGGCATGCAGAGGGCCAGCCCCACGTCTGCCAGCAAGGAGGTTGGGTCTGGGTCCCCCTTCCCTCAGCTCCCCAAGCTGTGAAAGGAGCCAGGTCCCTGCCCTGACCCTGCTGACCCCTCACTCCCTGGCCAGGAACCCCTGGGCTGGGTGGAAGCCCCCCAGCAGGATGGGTGCTGGTGCACCGAGCACCTGCCTGAGCTGTTACAAGGGGGAGAGCCAGCAGGGACAGGCTGGGGGGGGACAGTCAGTGTAACCCCACAGGGACAGGCTGGGGGGTGACAGCCAGTGTAACCTCGCGGGGACAGGCTGGGGGGGGACAGCCAGTGTAACCCCGCGGGGACAGGCTGGGGGGGGACAGCCAGTGTAACCCCGCGGGGACAGGCTGGGGGGGGGGACAGCCAGTGTAACCCCGCGGGGACAGGCTGGAGGGGGGGACAGCCAGTGTAACCCCACAGGGACAGGCTCGGGGGGGACAGCCAGTGTAACCCCACAGGGACAGGCTGGGGGGGGACAGCCAGTGTAACCTCGCGGGGACAGGCTGGGGGGGGACAGCCAGTGTAACCCCGTGGGGACAGGCTGGGGGGGGGACAGCCAGTGTAACCCCACAGGGACAGGCTGATGGGGGACAGCCAGTGTAACCCCGCAGGGACAGGCTGGGGGGGGGGACAGCCAGTGTAACCCCGCGGGGACAGGCTGGGGGGGGGACAGCCAGTGTAACCCCGCAGGGACAGGCTGGGGGGGGACAGCCAGTGTAACCCCACAGGGACAGGATTGGGGGGGGACAGCCAGTGTAACCCCACGGGGACAGCCTCGTTACCAGAGCATGGCTGCCATCAGGCTGCCAAACATTTGGGTTTTGCCCGGTCCCACTAATTACAACCCAATTAACATGGCTGCAGCACGTGGCCTGAGCTGACCCCACGGGGTTTTCCCCCCCGAGTGGCCCCCCTGGGGCTGGCAGCCCACACGGTGGGGAGGCAGCACCGACCCCCACAGCACCCCGGGGTGCCTCTAAAATGGGTCAGACCCCCCGCTCCTGGCACCAGGGGACAAGGAAACGAGCTTGCAAACATATGTCGGAGCCTCTGCCCACCTCCTCTGCGTCCCAGCGGAGCGCACGCAGGGTTTTATTAAGGCCCAAATCCCCAAGATGCTCGCGGAAGATGCACGTTGGGGAGCGGGGCTCTAATTTGGCACCCGCAGCCAGCCAGAACCGCGCCGGGCGCAGGGTACAAAGTGGTGGTGTTTAATAATTACTCGAGATACAACAGCACGTTACGCAGCCATACGCCCCCTCCCCGAGAGAAAGAGAACTATAAAGTTCATCGAAGGATAAAAAGGAGGATCCTTCCTGTCCCGCAGCGGCACGGCTGCCTCCCAGTCCTGCTCAGCCCCGCCACCGGCTCGCGGCGAGGAGCGGGGACACTTGGGGACATGCCACCCCGGCAGGTCCGGGCGAGCTTTCGCAGACGGCACATGCAGGTGGGGAGGGCAGCCAGCACACAGTGCTGCCGGGACGAAGGCAGGACACCACGAAGTGGAGCTGCCCGAAGAGTCCTTGAGGTTCAAGTCCTACCAGATAAACACACAGAGACAAGGCCACGCTGGGGAGAAAGGAAAAACACGCCCCCGCCCCCCCAATAAAACAAAAAACCAAACAAAACAGCAGTTGGAAGAGACATCCTCGGCTCAGCCGGACCCTGTGCCACCGGCCCAGCTAGCGCTTGGAGAGCTCGTGCGATAGCCAGTCCAGCCCGTCGTAGAGCCCCGTGCCCTGGGTCGCGCACGTTGCCTGCACGTACCACTGCAAAACAAGAGGGACGGAGAAAAGGGCTTTGGGCTTTGCAGATGGCCAGCCCGGCGCACCCCAGGAGCAGCCCCGCGGGTCCCTGCCGCTGCGGCGGGGACAGCACCCACGGCCACTCACGGTCCTGCTGCGCAGCGTCTGCAGCCCCAGCTTGTCGGTCAGTTCGCTCACCGCCATGGCGTTGGGCATGTCCTGCTTGTTGGCAAACACCAGCAAGACGGCGTCCCGCAGCTCGTCCTCCTGCAGCTGCAGCGAGAGCGGGGCCGGCTGAGGCGGGCGCTGAGCCTCCGGCGCCGCGGCACGCGAGACCCGGCGTGGACAGCCCCGAAAGAGCTGGGAGGACTCTCCGCCTCCTCCGCTCGCTTCCAGCACCTCGGCTGCCCTCCTGGCCCCAGCGCCGAAGTCTCGGTGGCACCGGGATGCTCTTCCAGGAGCACCCACGCCCTTCGCAGAGGGGACACCCGCACTGGAGCGAGGGGCTCCAGGGATGGGTGGGGAGGCACAGCGACCAGAGAGCGGGCACGACGCTCTCCGCGCAGCGAGCGGGCAGTGGGCAGCTGCCCGTCCCTTCTCCCCGCTCTCAGGCCGCGACACCCTCGGCTCTGCGCCAGCTCCCCTCCCCAGGGATGCTCTGCCCCCCAGACAGCCGCACCGAGGATTAAATGACCCCCGCCCCGCAGGCTGGCTTTCGGATGTCATTTCTGGATGCTACCCCCCCCTCCTCGTGTACCCTGGGTGCTCGGCTAGCAAAGCCCTGACTAAGTAAAACCTAAACCCACGTTCTCTTGGAAATTTTTGCACTTTGAAATTGCTCCCGATCGCTGCAGGCCCAGCCTCTGCCTGGCAGAGGAGTCGCTGCCCCATCCCCAAGCCCAGACAGATGCCCCTGGCAGGGCAGACCCAGGTCTCATCTCACACTCACCCAGGCATTGCTGCAGAGAGGGGCAGAGCCGGGAGGAGGGCTGGGGACACCCACCTCCCTGCCAGACCAAAAAACACCTCCCCCCCCCCAATCACTCACCATCTTCTGCAGCTCGTCGGCAGACTCCTGCACTCGCTCTCGGTCATTGCTGTCCACCACAAAGATGAGACCCTGAGGGAGAAGCCAGGCTGGAGCGGGCAGCTTGCGCGGAGAAGAGGCGGGGGGGGCACCCTAGGTGGGCTGCAGGCACCCCCCAACCAAGGGGGAGAGCGGCCCCCCCCGCCCCGTGCACCCTCTCCATAGCCAGAGCACCCCGGGGACGGCGCTTCCCCCTCGCCTGCTCCTCCGCCAGACCCCTCTGCCTCGCTCCCCTCTGACGGGACGATGCGGCAAACACCCGTGCACCATCCCAGTGCTCCCCGTGGGGCCACCAGCGGGGACTGGGACGCATTCCCTGCCACCACTCACACGCCCAGTTCAGGCAGGATTGAGCCCCAAGCCCCAGGGACCCCAGGCCAGCCCCGCCGCAGCTGATGAAGTTTATCCCCGCCTGGCCCGCGCTCCGCATACCTGCGTGTTTTGGAAGTAGTGCCTCCAGAGGGGTCGGATTTTGTCCTGGCCGCCCACGTCCCAGACGGTGAAGCAAATGTTCTTGTACTCCACCGTCTCCACGTTGAACCCTGCGGGGGGGAAGGGGGGAATGGGGAGAGGGTGCCCACTGCCTCTGGGTGCAGCTGAGGAGAGCCTGGCTCCGCTTTACTCCCCCACGAGGGATTTACGCCCATGGATGAGACCCCCCCCCCCGAGCCATCTCTTCTCCAGAATGAACATCCCCAGCTCTCCCAGCCTCTCCTCGTACGAGAGGTGCTCCCGTCCCTTTGCCATCGCCGTGGCCCTGCACTGGACTTATTCCAGCATGCCCCAGTCTCTCCTGCACTGGGGAGCCCAGCACCAGGCCCAGCACCCTGAGGTGTCTCAGCAGAGCTGAGCAGAGGGGGGAGCTCCTCTCCAGACCCACTCTCAGTGCTCTGCCCAGCACAGCCTAGGGTCTGGTGGCCCCAAGCCACGAGGCCACGTGCCTGGGGCTGGCTCAGGTTCCTTCCCAGCGGGGCTGCCCGGGTTTGTTCCCCAGAGCTGTTCTCCACCAGGTTCCAGGGCCTGGGGCTGTTCCTCTCCAAGGGATTGGCAATCTGCTGGTTGAACTCCACAAGGTTCCTCTGCCCATTTCTCCAGCCTGCCCAGGTGCCCCTGGACAGCAGCACGACCCTCGGGCGTAGAACCGCTCCTCCCAGCTCGGGACCATCCGCAGGCTTGCCGCGTGCTCTCTCCCCATCACCCAGGTTGCTAATGAAGACATTCAGCAGCCCTGGCCAGACCACAGGTGACCAGCCCCCACCAGCTCATGGGAGACGTTACGGGTGATGGTGCTGAGCACCCCACAGAAGGCTTTGCACCCTGCCCTGCCCGGCTCAGGCAGCCTGGACCCACATGCTCTGAGCGATGTCCAGCCTATGAAAGCGTCTTGGTCTCTCCGGACCGGAGCCAGCCCATGCCGGGGTAACGGCACAGCTGGGCTCATGCCCGCGGCGCTGCGCTGGTTGGGGTGGCCGGGGGTATTTTTGGGGTGCAAGCCAGGCTCCCCGCCAGGCACCGCCTTGCGGCCATGCCCCAGCACCCGGAGAGATAACGGGAGGGTAACGGCTGGGCGGCCACAGCGCTGGGCATCACACAGCGCATCTCACCCCACACAGCCCCTGGGGCTCGGACCGGAGGACCCACGGAAAACTGGTACCCGGGGATGTGGAGGGGGTGGCCGTGCTCGGTGCCGGCTGTCAGAGGCAGGGGGTGACGACCCTGCCCGGTACCCGGTGCTCGCTGAGGGCCCTGCCCGGTGCCGGGATGCTCACCGATGGTGGGGATGGTGGTGACGATCTCACCCAGCTTCAGCTTGTAGAGGATGGTGGTCTTGCCGGCGGCGTCCAGCCCACTGCAGCGAAGAGGCGGTGTCACCGCCGCCGGTCCCGGTGCGTGTCCCGGCCCCATCCCCATCCCCCGCCCGGCCCTGCTCCGCCGCCCCCGCGCTCACCCATCAGGATCCGCATCTGCTTCTTGCCGAAGATGCGGGAGAAGATGGCGGAGACCGTGAGGCCCATGGCGGCGGCGGGAGGGACGGACGGACGGACGGACCGACGGGACGGGACGGGACGGGACGGCAGCGCTGCCACCCCGCTGTCTCCGCGCTGAGCAGGCCCCGCCCCCGCGCACCGGGCCCCGCCCCCCCACGCCCCTGTACGGCTAGACCACGCCCATCACCGACAAAGCCCCGTTCACCGCGGCGCCGCGCCGCGCGGGGCTCCCCGCATCGCCCCGCCCCCTAGGCCACACTCCCTGCCGCTTGTCCCCGCCCCCGCCGGTTGGTAGCCCCGCCCTTTGGTCACACCCACACACCCACCCCGCCGCGGGCGGGAGGCGCATGCGCAGTGTGCGGCGGCGGGAGGCGTCCGGCGGAAGTGAGGCGTTGCGCCTGCGCGGCGGCCGCCGGCCCGGAGGTGAGGCCTGCGGGGACGCCGGGGGGTTGCCCTGGAGACAGCGCCTCCCCCCCCCCCACCCCCCACCTTTCCCCCCCCACCCCCCCCCACCTCCGCGGGACCCCCCACGGTCACCCGTGACAACCCCACAAACCCCCCGGCCCCGCTGCGCTTAGCCCTTCCGCCACGGCACCGCGGCCCGTCAGGCATCAGCCCCCCCCGCGCCGCTCCGCCACGGCCTCTCCGCCACCGCACCGCCCCCCCTTCGCCTCAGCGGCTGCCCCCGAGCCCCCCTGAACCCCCCCGTGCTCCCCTCCCGTGCCCTCCTGCCCTAGGCGTGGGAGCTGGCAGCGCTCGCATTACCTCCACAGCAAGCAGCTGTGCAGCCAAGGGGCTGCTTCCCTTAAAAAGTAAAAATTGAGCCGTTTATAGACACAAACCCCCGTGACAGGCCCGCGGGGGGAGCGCCTGCAGCAGCAGATAACGGCTGTACGGGGCGTTAAGGTGTTTCCCCTGGCCGCAGGGTCCTCAAGCGTGCCGTGTCCCCAGGGGGCTTCGGGGTGACGGCCCTGCTTAGCCGCCTGCTCCCGCCCATCGCCGGGGAGTCTTTGCTGCCTCTGCACTGTTTCTCTCCTTCCAGATTGTGTGAACCATGGAGAAGTTTGGCATGAACTTTGGAGGTGGCCCGAGTAAAAAAGATCTTCTAGACACTATTGAATCGCAGAAGAAGCAGCTTCTTCAGTACCAGGTTCGGTTGAAGGATGTCGTCAGAGCCTACAAGAGCCTACTCAAGGAGAAGGAAGCCTTGGAAGCCAGCTTAAAAGTCTTGTCTGTGTCTCACGAGGCAGATACTGGCTTGAGTGGTGCTCAGCCTGCGTCTATGGCTAGCTCCAGCTCTTCCTTTGCTGATTCTGCTGACGACAGGAGCTCGGTTCACAGCGAAGACAGCGTGGGGACAGCTACCAGTGCAGACACTGCTGCCAGTCTGGCCAGTACCAAGGGTGAGCCAGGGCCTGAGGATGATAAGCCTGTGGCTGGCGCTTCCTCTCTTAAATCAGAAGAGACGAGCGGTTCAGAGAGCGGCATCAGCACGAGCAGCGGGGACGTGCCATCTGCTGCGAGTGAGGCTGATAAAAGAGTGCTCCAGCTGAAGACCCAGCTGGCCACCTTGACCAGTGCTCTGTCAACAGTCACGCAGGAGAAGTCCCGCATGGAAGCCTCGTACCAAGCAGACAAAAGGAAGATGAAACAGGACCTGGATGACGCCGTTAAGAAAGCAGAGGATGAGACCGAGAAGCTGGAGACGGAGCTGAAGTCTGTCCAGGAACAGCTGGCCGAGACCAAAGCCCGTCTGATCACGCAGCAGCACGACCGAGCCCAAGAACAGAGCGACCACGCCGTTATGCTGCGAGAGCTACAGAAGCTGCTGCAGAGCGAGAGGACTTTGCGCCAGGATGCGGAGCTGAGGCTGGAGGAGACCAGGGAGGCCCTGGCCGGGAGGGCGTGCATGGCTGACCGCGCCGAGGGGTACGAGCTGCAGATTAAGCAGCTGGGCCAGGAGGTGGAAGACCTGAAGAAAGAGCTGCAAGCTGTTCAGGAGGAGAACAACAAGCCAGACCCTCGGATACAGCGTCTGCAGGTGGAGATGGCCAGCCTGAAGAACCACTTCCAAGTGCAGCTGCTGCAGGAGATGAAGAAGGTAATTCCTTGTCTGGGCCCCGGAGCAGCTCACCCCGGGGGGGTGTCAGCGACTGGGGCAGGGTTTGAGGCTGGAGGAGCACAAATTCCCCTTCCCAGTCCCGCAGAGCCCAAAAGGTGTGAAATAGATGAGAGCCTTGTGGCTATCATCAATGGACTGATAGTCCCGGAGGAAAATTGAAGCTGTTTGTGAAACAGCATCTAAATCATTAATCGGGGGGGGGGGTGGGGGGGTGGTGAGCGTTGGGTTTGGGAGCACCCTTTGGGGTGATTACACGGTGACTGTCCTCCACAGTGTCGTTTGGTTTTGAACACGTTACTGTCTGGTGTGATGGTGGCTGAGTGTGGGAGAGGGACCTTTCCTCTGCCCCACTGTGACTATGAGTGTGGTGTCTCTGTAAATTATGTAAGTGCAATGCAGGGTACAATTACAGGAGTTCATAAAAACTAACCTTCTTCAGAGAAACTCGGAATGCTCTAGGGAAGGAACAAAGATAAATACAGAAGGGCTTGAGCCTGTGTGCATGTAGGGGGAGAGCAAAGAGCTAGAAAGAGGGATGTGGTGGAGAAGAGGAACCTGTGTAACTGCAGGTTGTGGGGCAACATGCTCAGGGGTTGGCATGGGGGGTTTGGCTCCAGTAACTGCATTTGCATCTAGAAACACTCTGGAATGGGATCTTCCTCATCTCCGTGCACTCTGGAACAAGTTTTATTTCTAATCTGAAGCATCAGGCTGGCTTAATGCAATTTGCTTTTTTTTTTTTTTTTGGAAGTGGTCTCTAACAGCTGCTCTCTGACAGAGATGAGGGGGACCTGACTCCAGCTGTGTTTTAGTTCACGATGGTGATTGTCAAATGCTGCCATTGTCCAGAGTACTTAATAGTCACTTAGATCTCAATAGCTGTGAACACCAGGTGTTTGCTGTAGCTACTCAGAAACCACTGAATTATTTTAATATCAGTGCAACAAAGCATAGGATTTAAGTAAATTGCAGTCATGTGTGAAAGCTATAGAGCACATGCACGTGCTTTAAAAAAACCCTGTAGCAGATTGTGACGTGAGTTTGCTGCTTCCCACCACCCCCCACCCCCCTGCACACCTACAGCAACGCAGATAATGCTGGTAACAGGAACTCTGCCAAGCAGCAGGGAACAAAAGCAAAAATGCTTTCAGTTTATTTTATCCCCGAATAAACCAATATCCAAAAAGGCAGCTCAGTGTGGTGACTTGTGTGGGGTTTCAGGGGAGGATGGCCCTGCACTTGTTTGGAGTTCAGCAGAGCAGAATGAAGCCCCCGTGTAAACCGCAGACCTCCTGCCCGGGGCGTTGAGGTAGCCTAACCCTGCCGTGTCTCTCTGCTCTCAGGCTGCACAGGCCGAGGAGCAGCTCCGCCAGCACGCCCAGATGGAGGAGCGGCGAGTGGCCGACTTGGAGGGCCAAGTCTCCGAAGTGTCGGAACTCCTTGGCACTTACGAAAAAGCCAAGCAGAAAGACCAGGTGATCATTCAGAAGCTCAAGGACCGCATCGTACAGTTGGACCTGGAGAACAAAACCCTGGCCATCGCTGCTTCCAGCCGATCCCCTGTTGATGTTCACATAGAAGAAGCCAACCTTGATGTTAATGTTCTAAAGGATAAAATGGAGAAGCTGAAAAAGCTCTTGCAGGCAGCAGCTAAGAAGAGTCAACCCGCTCTGGACATCGAGAAGCTGTGTGAGCTGGAGCTGCCAAAGGGCACTGAGGCTGGGGATGGCGAGAAGGCCACTGCTTTGTACTATCAGCAGGAGCTGAAGCAGCTGAAGGAAGAGTTTGAAAGGTACAAGATGAGGGCACAAGTGGTTCTCAAGAACAAGTCGGCCAAAGATGGCAATCTGGCTAAAGAACTGGAGGAAGCTCAAGAGCAGCTAGCGGACCTGAAAGAGAAATACATTGTGCTTCAGCTGTCCTCTGATGAAATGGAGAAGCAGCACCAGCAAGACATGGAAGCCAAGAAGCAAGAGTTGTCCCAGGTGCAGCAAATTCATAGGCAGGAGTTGGAGCGGTGCCAGCTGGATTACAGGGAACGGGCGCTGAAGCTGGAGGAGGAGATGCACAAGCAGCGGGACCGAGCACTGGCGGTGCTGGCAGAAAAGGACCAAGAGCTGGAGCAGCTGAGATCTGTCACGTTGCCTTACGGGCTTCAAGGTCCCAAAAACTACCTAGCATCAGGGACTGACGTTACTGGCAGTGACTCACCGGGTAACGATTCCTCAGACTTTCTCCCCCAGGCTCTTCACCTCTCCGCCACAGTGAGCCCACCTTCTTCTTGTATGCAGAGCAGCTGGCTCGCAAAGAAGTGGAAATTGTAGCGCTGAGGAAGCAGAAGCGCAAGCTGGAAATGCAAGTTCACCAGCTCCAGGAGAAAATCTTGGTTGAGGAGGAGAAACGCCGGGAAGAGGTATCTGCACTTCAAAGCGAAATCGAGAAGAACTTCAGAGATAAGAGCAGAGAAGGAGCCAACCTGGAATACCTCAAAAAATTGTTTATAGATTTTTGACATTGCCAGATTCTCTGGGTCGCCAGCAGACTCTAACTGCCATATTGACTATTCTGCACTTCAGCCCAGAAGAAAAGCAAACCATTACAAAGCAGTCAGCTTACAGCAGCTGGTGGCTTTCTGGGAAGATGAGATGGTAGCTTTTATTCCTAACTGCTTTTGCATAGTAACAAGTTTCTGATTATTAACTAAGACCACTGCACTTGTGGTGTAACCTCTTCCCAACTTTGCAATGGTGCAGGGAGCTTTCAGCAAAGAATTGGGCTTAAACTAGTGCTCTTAGCACTAATTTAAAGTAGCATTGTGCCGACTATTCCAGTAGGATCACAGTGCTCTCTGGTGTGAGAATTTGCTCTGAGTTGGAACTAGATTGAAAAAAAAAAAAAAATTGAAGATACTGATGCTTTTTTAAGCACAATTTAAAAAGAATCCCTACCTGTCAGGCGTAGGGTGAGGAGCTTTATTAGAGTGGAACTTGCTTGTATCTTCAAACAGTAGACAGGCTTCTGACTCAAAAGATTTAAAAGTGGGGGGAAGCACTTAACACGGTGCTAAAATAACATAAGACAAAGAGCTGAAATCCTGCAAGAAGGATGAGTCTTAACTACCAGCATCATCCAAATGCAGAAGATCTAGAGCGTTTTCTAATTTTTTTTTTTTTTTTTTAAGGAGAGCCAAATTTATACCGTGGATTCAGCAGCTCCTCGTAGCGCTGGGGGCCATCTGATGGCACAGCACGTTACGGTGTGCTCCGTTACTGACCAGGGGTCCTCTCTGCGGATATCGGTGTTTCCCAGGAAGGAGAACAGATATCCTAAGTATTTAAGGTTGGACCCTGGTAACTGCAGCGTTGCAAGCAGTGTTTCCCCACCAGTGTCAAGCCAGCAGTGCTATGTAGCAGTTCTCTTAGAGCAGATACCTGAGCTTTCTGCCCCTGTTTGAGGTGGGAACTGGGGTGATGCAGAAAGCAGACGGAGGAAAAGCTGAGATAGGCACACTGACCCTTCAGCAGTCAGCTTCGGAGCGTTTGGGGAGTTTCAGTGGAGTTTTGGTGTTCTGCAATGTTGTTTTGGGAAGCAAGGCATTGCTCCTGCTGGGATAGAAGCAGTGAGGGGCAGAAGATAACTGCTCTGAGGGCAACGTGTGCCCTGAGCTTGCACTGAACACCGTGAGGGTGAGGGCCTGGCCGCTTGCTGCATAGACCTTGAAGCTCTTATGTAATTTCCCGCAGGTTGGTGAGCATGGCAGGAAGGAAGCCAAACATTTTGAAACACCGCTGGCTTTGGTGGGCCCCTGGAAGCTCCCTGCTGGCATTCCTGTGTTTTGCAGTTGTGCTCTGGCTCCTGACTGCTTAGACCCAGAATGACTGAGCTGAAAGCCCTGGCTCAGGGGGAAGATGGCTGGAATAGGTGTTTTACAAACGGTTGCAAGGCTGAAAGCAGAGTGTTTTGAGTATTGGTGGGCTGTGTGAGAAGGGTCAGGACCTCGAGGAGCTGCCTGCTCCTGCCCCGGTATCGGGGAGGGCAGCTGCCAGGCTCCGTGTGAGACCGGCGCTGGCACAAGCAAACTCCTCTTGCGCTCTGCTGCGGTGGGAACCTGAATTTCCTTTTGTTGTTTGAGCCCTGTGCTCGGGTTCCTGGAGACCCGACAGGCTGGAGAAGGGGAACGTGCTGTTTCACCCTCAGAGCTCATGTTTTCACTGGTCGAGGGCAGCGTCTGGCTTTACTCTGGTGCGTTCCCTTTGCCTTCTGTCTTCCCCCCTGCCAGGTTGAGACAAGGGAAGCAGCCACTTGTCTGGAGGGACAGACCGAGTCCCTGGGGATCTCCCCAGCCCATCCCCTGGGTGCTGGGGCCACTAGAGGGCACCCACTGGTCGCCCAGTGCCCCAGGGACGGGGACCCTGGGGTGCAGCAGCGCCAGGGCTGGCTCCCCTGGGATGGGACCTGCCTCTGAAAAGCGACACAAGGAAAGCAGCAAGGGACATGAGAGGGCTGAGGTTGGGTCCTGGCTGGGCCGGGAGGTCAATGCTGTGTCTCAGGGCAGCTTGCACAGGGGCTGCAGGGTCAGCAGGGTGGGTTTCTCTGTCCAAAACATTCTCTGCTGTGGTGAACAGCTCCTGAGGTCTGGGGCAAGGTGCTGATGCTTTCTGTAACGAAGGGTATGCAAGGTCAGGGGAAAAAAAAAAAAAAAAAAGTGCCAGCTGTGGTGTGTCCGGTGCTGCCTGCTGGCATTGAGTGATCTGAAATGGGAAGGAGCATCTCGGTGGGGTGGGAAGAGCTGTGCTGGCTGGATCTTCTGGAAAAGTGCCCATCAGGAAGTGTTTGTGCTGATATTTAAATGGTCACTGCTCTCTCAAAACCAGGGAGGGATGTTTTGCTTCCAGAGAGGTTGGGTGGTTGCCTGCAGCCCTGGGAACCGGCTACTCCCAGCTGTGCTTTTACTGAAGCTTCTAGAGCTTTCTCATCTGCGTAGGCAAAATCTCACTTTGTTTGCATGCACCTGCTTTGGTTTTAATTAAAGCTTGGCTACTAAAGCACAACTTCCCAGTCCCAGAGTACAGGGAAAGTGTTGGTAAACACTGGTGTTAAGTCTTGCTGTAACAAGCCTCCTGCGGGTCCTGGAGCGGAGCGAAGGGGCGGGTTGGTGGAGCAGCTCTCTGCTGCACTGCCCGGGGAGGCCTGGGCGCAGGGCACAGCCTGGGCAGCTTTTTGGGGGGGACCCCCCGCGCCCCTGGCAGCTCACGCCGGCTCAGCCGGGATTGACGAGCCGTTGCTGCTCAGCGCAGGGTGCGTCCTGCTCGCCCGTGAGTGCACCCTTCTCGCACGGCTGCAGCTTTGCAGCTGCCGCTGCGCTTTTACCCGAGCGTGCCCCGGGCACACGTGGTTTTTCTCGCAGAGGAAGTGGGCAGTGAGAGGCCGTGGTTGCTGAGCAGGGCTCCCCCGGCCAACGCACCCTTCCCCACCTCGCAGCCTCTCAGCACGGGGAGCCAGAGGCTGTGGGTGCCTCTGCAATTCGAGTGCCTGGGACGAGCGAAGAGCTTTAGCCGTTGGGCGGGATGGAGTCCCTTCCTCTCTCAGTGCTGTGCAGGTGTCCTGTCAGCGGCTGAGTTCCCCGGAATCTGCCTCACAAATCCCACCCTGCTGAAGGCAAGGGCAGCGCTCCGGCTAATTGCAAACCTCGGTGCCAATTTCTGCTCAAGAAATCCTCAGGGAAAACTTGCCCCGGGCGGAGGCTGTGCCTGCTGGAGGTCTTGGGAGGGGATGACAAAGCCAAGCAGTCAACAGTTCCCCGTGCTGGTATGGACAGAGGCTGAGAGCTTCAGCAGTTGGCCCCATGCAGGATCCACTTGCTGCTCTGATGGAGGCAATAGATAGGAATTGGAGAGTTTGTTGCAGGGAGTGCTTGGCCTGGGGTTCCTTGGTTTTGACACACTTCTCAGCAATACGAGTGTTGGCTCAGCCAAGGGATCTGCTGAGACGAACCTGGTCTCTGGTCCCGGTTTGGAAAGGTTGAATCAAGTGGTGTCTCTGAAACCATAGGGATTGCTCAAAATCTTCCCCTGCAGCAGCAGGAGCCATCCCCACAACGCCTGGGGGCAATGCTGCTTCCTTCAGCTTCGAAGCACAGGCTGAGAGGGGATCCCTTTTCTCCCTTTGCCTCATTCTCTTCTGGAAGAGCCTCTGCCCGGAGAACGAAGCAACCTGGAATAGATCCCTGGTGCTGGAGGGTTTTGTGATGCTTGTCAGCTGCAGCAGGACCGACGCCGCTGTCCCAGGAGCACTGGGAGATGGCTCTTCCCCACCCCCAGGTCCGGGTTCCTCCTCTGGTCCTGGGCAGGAAAAATTCCCAGCCAAGCTGGTGAGAGAGAGGCCAGCTGGGAGGTTGCAGCAGTGGCAGTGACGGTGAGGGGGGAACAAAATGGGGCCCAGCTGGGACCATGCGGGGCCGCTGCTCGGTGGGCAGCAGGGTTTAAGGAGCATTTCCTCGCCTGATGGAGGAAAAAAAGGAGCAGCTACAAAAGAGGCAGCAGGGAGCTGGGGAGGGAACATCTCCAGGAGCTGCCAAATCAAGGTCCTCTGTGCTGCTGCCAGCCTTGTGCAGCTCTCCCAGTGCAGTTCCCTCCTCTGCTCCCCCGCAGCCCCTCTCCCTACTCCTCCGCCATCCCTCAGACCTTCCCCTGCATCCCTCCCTCTTTCTTCAGTCAGCCAGTACCTTCTGAAATAAAACTGAGGCAGAACTCTGCAGTCTGGTGAGCCGTGGTTTTAAGTGGCAAGCCGTGCGTGGGCTGGCTGCCGGCGTGTGCTCGGGCAGCGCTTCGCCCCCGGCCTCCCTCGGCACGCTGCCGCAGCCGGCAAGGCCGGGCGCTGCTCGCTGCTGGGCTCGGGGGGCTGTCGCTGGTCTTGCAAGGACACTGCTTGAACAGATGTAAAAAAACCCAAAAAAACAAACAACCAACTCAATTTTCTGGCTTGTGAATTCGACCTGTCCTTGCTGTGAAATCATCAGGACACGTGAGCATCTCTGGAGGTGGACGTGCAACACAACGGGAGGGTACGAAACACCCCAGTGGACCTTGGGGACGGTGTGGGTGGCAGCCTGTGACGGACAGAGATGCTGTGTTCAAGGATAAAGAAAATGTAGTAGAGAGAAGGTTGGGTTTGCTGGGGGTTTGGTGAGCCTTGTCCACACGCTTGAGTGAAAAACATTGTACAGCCGGGTGGTTATTGCTGGGACCTGGCGGATCTCGGCTGGGCCTGGGTGGTACTGGGCATTGCTTGGCCCAGGGGGATGTTTGCTGGCTTATCAGAAACCCCTTGATTTCAAAATTAGCAAAAAAATTACCAACCCCCTTGATTTCCGGAGGTCCCTGTGAGTATGGGACTGCAACTTCTTCGTTCCTGCACCTTTGTGGGGCTGCAGAGGAGTTTGGCACCGAGAGGTGCCCGGCGCTCTGCCCCACACCCCGCGAGGCCACAGGGGGTCCGCAGGTCCGGGGAGAGGTGGTGCCACCGCCGAGGGGGCTGAGCCCCTTCCCTCGGGGGGGTGCTGAGCCCTCCGAGCGCCGTGCCGGCACCGAGGGCTTCTCTTTGCTGCTGGGGTGGAAGGAAAGCCCTTCCCTCGCTCCAAGGAGGGCTGGGGG